AGATCCTGGGTTCGAAATGTGGCGATGGTGGGTGTGTACTGATGAAGAGTCCCAAACTAGGATGGAGGAAACAGCTGTCCAGTACTCCCTGGTTGTGGTTTTCCAACGGTTCTCTAACTGATGTGTCAGCTCATGATGAAATCCTCCATGCAATCAAAGTTAGAATTCATGGGCTGGCCATTGAGTCGGATGCCAGTGGTTAAATGGTCAACGGAGCTCGCCTTGTAACCATAAGGTCCTGGGTTCGAAATCCAGTGGGTGGATGGTTACTGCCGATGAGTCTCAAACTCGGATGAAACAGCTAACTGATATCAATCCGCGGGCAAACTTCACTCCATCAACTCCGCCATCCAATTCCTAGAGAAAATCAGAGGCATCCCAATAGATGAACAAGAGATAATGATATCCTTCGACGTCACAGCATTGTATACCTCAATCGGACAACAACTAGCAAAAGAAACCATGGAACAATTACTTATCAACGACGAACACCTTCCACAACAATCGAAAATGCAACACACAAGCTGGATGGAATGCATAAACCTATGCCTAACAACGTACTTCCAATTCAACGGCCAAATATATGAACAAGTCAAAGGAACACCTATGGGATCGCCAATATCAGGTTTAATTGCAGAAGCTGTGATGCAAAGGCTCGAAAACATAATTCTACCAAAGAACAAACCCAAGATTTGGATACGCTATTAGACGACACATTTGTAATTATCAAAAGAAACGAGTTAGATAAAGCTCACAACCTGATAAACAACGTCTTCAACGACATCAAATTCACAAGAGAAGAGGAATCAGAGAACCAAATTCCATTTTTGGACGTCTTAGTCAAGCGAACAACCACAGGGGAATTAGAAACTCAAGTCTACAGACAATCAACTCACACAGACCAAATCCTGAATTACAACAGCAACAATCCAATAGCACACAAAGGAATTGCATACAAACACTATTCAAGAGAGCCAGGACTCATTGCAGCACTCCCACCTTAAGGAAAATTGAAGAGAGATATCTCATGGACGTCTTCCAAAAGAATGGATATCCACGGAATTTCATCAAAAGACATATACCCCCAAACCAACCTACCAAATCAAAAACCCCCAAAGAAAGCACAAAGAAAATCACCTTACCATATATAAAGGATATCTTAGAAATAAATGCAAGATTCCTCAAACCTTTTGG